CAAAATCAACTCTCTGGGGAATGAAGGACACCCCCCCAACTCATCAAAGGAACATCTGTGAACAGATGAGACACGGGACAAGGTGGAGGAATGGGAACCCCCACAGTGGTCAAGTCCCTGTCAAACCACCAAGCAAGGTTGGCCTGGACACCAAGGGAAGGGAAATGGGATGGTCCAAGGGTCATGGGGGAAGTTCCACTGGTTGAGGAACATTCCAAGGAAGCTCACATCTTCTAAAGAGATAGAATCTCACGTGCAGAGAGAGAAGGAAAAGGTAGGGCTATCATGACTGCCTGCTCCATATCCTGGAGCCAAAGTGGAGAAGGCTGGGCTTGACAGATATGGGAAGTGAAGAGAACCACAAAATGAATAAGATACTGCAAGGAGGTAGTAAAGCAATTCTCCAACTTGATGAGAAACCCCACTGAGCAGCTTCTCAAAGAAGAAAGTGGATGTGAGTGACTGACTGGGCATGGGAAGAGGTGAGCAGAAGCCAGTCGTCCATGAAATGGTGAGTTCAAACACCCAGAGAGAGAAGATGACATGCAAAAGAGTGCAAAAGACAGAACCCTCATAGACAAACCAAAGAAAAATGATGTAACACTGGGAAAAAAATACACACCAAAGAAACTGAGAGTATAAACAACCCATAATATTGAATATACAAGTCCACTCAAAGAATCTATAAGACAAAAGACACGAAAATAAAACCTACCCTGAAGAACATGAGAATAAAAAGGCACCCAGTTTGACTCAAAATCAATTCCCAATTAGACGTGACTAGTAGTAAAGAAAATATAACTTACAAATTAAATAACATTAACAGTGAAAAGAAATAAAAATTTAAACAAACTTCAGATGCAAGTTTAAAGTAAAGTAATCTAGATGGTAAAAAAGGAAAAAAACCTGACTTACCCAACAATGAGCAGAGAAGACATGAATGATCTAAATTATCAAGTGCTGAAAATAGATCCATCCACGCTGAAAAACTTACCACAGATCTCCTTAAAAAAGAACAATGCTTAACCCAGCAGATTATGAGGAGGCATGGTATCAAGTGGAAAGTGCCATAGAAATAAACTTTCCACACAGTAGGTCTACCCCTCTGCACAAAAATCGCAAGTTGGAAGGAAAAAATAGCCAGCTGGATGTAAGACATGAACTCCCTGCAAACTAAAGCCTGTGATTCCCCAGCAGACATCGTAGATCCTGAGAACTGGGGACCAGTATAAAAACCATTGTCTACTTATGGTGGGAATTTTATCATCCGCCATATTAACTCTCGAATTCATATGAACAAAGTAGAATTTGAAAAACAGAGGCATTTCATAAACAAATGAGTAGAACTAATGGAAATCAAACACAAGAAGTTGAAACTGATATAAATTTACGATCAAGCACAATCAAAAGTTTGTAGTTATATGGAGAATGAGGTAAAACACAAGTCTATACACTTGAATGGCAATCGAGAAAGTGAGAATTGTGCTGCAATGGTAGAGTATAGATGGCACATTATGATTGGTGGATGGTAGTCACATGATCAGCACACATTCCTGCAATGCCACAAAAATGAAAATCTTTCATTAAAACAAGAGAAAATAAGTTAAAAATTATAATCAATAACTATACAAATTTGAAGCACAGCATTCCATATGTAAGGTTTTCAAAATTTTTTACTCTAAGTTTTGTCTTGTTTTTCATTTAACATTAAAAGTTAATTCAAATTTGAAATCATTCTTTAAAAATGTATATTATATATATATATATGTATATAGCTGGATAACTATGGAACCTTGAAGTTGTGCTATACATCAATATTCAATTATTCATTTAATTCAGCAATATAAATGGAAAGAACCACAAACAGGAAAAAATAATTTTACAAATGAACATAAAGTGAGTTATTTAAAATACAAGTATTAATTTGTTATACCTCCTCTCATCCAAAGCTATCTCGATCTTGATTTGCCCTCTAAGCATTGCTAAAAGTTTCAACAGTACACCAGTTTATTATACCCAAAAACTGAAAAGGTGAAGTACAGATGTTGAAAGAGGTTCTTGCAAGGCTTAAATAAAACAATAATACAGCATGTAGCCCAAAACATTGTCCCAGTACAGAGAAAATTTGCAGAAGATACCCATAAAAATTTCAACTGACAAGTTCTAAAACACTGCCAAAATCCAGCTTGAAAAATAAGCTATATATGAAATATATTTTAGGAAACGGGTGGGCCTCAGAAAGATCCCTAGAGGGCCACAATAAAATATATTTGGTGAAGTCAACATAGGGACTTGTAGCATAACTAAATAATGGCTATAGTATCTCCAGCCTTGTATGCTTACGTTGTTTAATATTCCCATTTGTACATTTATGAAATTTCCAATTTTTTTATTTATCTTATGTCTCAAACCCTAAGCTTGTTTGTTTACTTTTTTTTTGCAACTGTATTTTCACTTTAAGTTATCTGTATTTTTTTACAATCCGTATACCCCTTTTTATTTCAACAATTTTTAGTAATCTTGTTTCTTTTATTTTTTATGTACATCATGGACATAAATGTGTATAATAGTAATACTGTCCTATTTGAAACAGTTCAGTTTAATGAAATTCGTAGTTGGTGTATGATACTCTGTTGGCAAACAATGACAACCTTTGGATTGGCTTCATGCAGATTGGATTGCTCCTGATATCATTGCCACAATGTTATCTTTGCACTATGGTGCATGGTGATCAACATACCACATGTTATGTATATGTTTGTAAAATATATATATATAGCTAGTATATTTATATCATCTAGCTATATTTGGAGTCTGTAAACACTGGATTGGAAGGATTAATGAATTTATACTGGAATGGTGCATGACTGGATTTTGTAATCACACAAGTTTTATTCATACATGCAATGCATATTGGTTAATATTTATCTCTCTCCCTTTCTCTGTATATATACATATATATGTAGACTTTACAGTATTTTTTAAGTTGTAAAGCCATAGATATAGATAGCCATATGTATTTTTCAAGTTGTATAGATGCATGCACATATATTCATATGATGCAAAAATAAGAAAATATGTCATATATATACACAAATAGACATTTCTAATATTTCTTATAGTTATATTTCCCCTTTCTTCTTCCTTCTCTCCACTGACCATAGTAAGGCCAGTCGCTTTTGGTGCAGCTCACCAGATTTCCTCTTAGAATGACATTCTGCACACTCTACAAGGTCAAAAACATGTTAATTAACAATTATGACTTGATTACATTAATATACCTCCCCCCTCTATTTCTGATGGAGTTTGGATCATGACATTCCTACGACCCTCTTCCACTGTGATGACCCTAATCTCTGGTGGACCATCACTGCTGCATATTTTATCTGAAACAAAATATTTTTTACATAAAATATATAGCTACAAAATTTCTCCTTCACTTTCACCTATAATCACCATCTTCCACTTGCACAATTTTGCCACTCCTGATAATTAATCCATATGCAGTATCTATAAAATTCTAATCAGGCAGTGTGGGCTATAATTCAACACTTAGGATCTGCAATCACTATGATTGCCAATCCAATGCTCAAAACTGAGCTTGATGCTATCTTTTAAACTACAACTTAAAGATATCTGTTGTGGGAGACTAGCTGATACGGTTCCTGATGTCTTACTGTAGCTATTGGCTATTTGACTGCATTAGTTTGACATTTAAGCTGCAGCTGCATATTGTTATGGAGATTTGTTTCAGAATACAATGAGCATTTATAGTTTCTGTGTAACTAAATTCTCAATATATAGTATAGCAATGGGTATATATATATGCTTAGACTAAGACACAACCCACACTATGTGCTTATAAAATTTTACCAATAGAAAAGCAGCCTTTTCAACTAAAACATATGTGTCTAAAACATTGCTTTAAATAAACCTTCGTGTCTTTTAAAGTAATTATTCTATGAATGTGTGTAATTAAATTTAATATTATGTGTTTTTTTGTATTTTTTACTCCTTCACTTCATACATAATATGTGGAGATTGGCTCCTTAAAGACAACTATTGTATAATGTACAAAGCATTGAGTATCTGCATGTTAGTCATCTAATATTCATCTATTATTGGCTGGTAATTCCTGTTTCAACCTGTACTAAAACTTCTTAAAGGAACACCAGAAAACTAACTTCAAGGGGTAATGATAACATCATTTACACTAAAATTATGATTTTTTAGCATATGAAAAATATAGTAATAACTTAAAAAGTACTCAATGTAATGCATAATGATCCATTTAGTAATACTGCCTAGGTTTTGATTGTAATACTAGTGGTTGTATTTACTGTATGCTGTAGAATAATAATAATAAAAAGAAGAACAAATGGCCAATATCTATTATGAACCAATACTGTGATTCATGATAATAAGAAAATAAAGATAAGCAGTTGCTGGCTTAAATGCATATTTATGTTTATTTTACAATTTCCTTATGTTGTATAATGATGTGCATGTTGGTGGATATTTAATTTGTATTTTACCAAACTGATAACAAGAGACAATCAAAATTTGACAGTTTAAAATGTGATCCAATATACATTTTTTCAGATACAGTGACAATTTATGGCACAGTGAGCACTTCATAACAGAAAAATATAACTTTCGTAGGCTCAAATGGTATCTAATATTTTGATCATGTGGTATTGATGTCTTACAATTTCAAAATACTTGCAAAGAAAGTGGATAGATATGCTGTACTAGTTTAAAAAATTTAACATAAAAAGCTTTGATTTTCAAATATTTTGTACCTTTTACTATTTCACAGATGCCAGTATCTAATAACTACTAGTATATATATATATATATATCTTTGTTTTAGTAAGAGTTTGTACATGTGTGGGTTAGAATGTTTTAGTTTGTAATCAGCTTGTGTTAAATGACAAGTCTCATACCTAAATTGTTTCAATGTTTGTAAAAAAAATAGTTAAAAACATAGAAACATCAAGTCTTGTTTTATGTTGGGTTTATTTCTGAATTTGAACATACAGTACACCTCACATTATAATAAGCATGCTTGTTATGACTAGGTGTGTTATTTCTTTTCATTTTTAAACATCACCTTAACCTAGGCCTACATCATTAAAGTACAAATAGCTTAGATTATCAGCACTTCCTATAGTATATGTTAGACTCAGTCATTCTCGGGCCTGTGAAGTTATCACAGAAATGTCAGTCAATTCTGAATTTTGTTTTTGTTTCATTTCATGCAAAGACTAAGGGCCATCTATGATAGCTGTCCCTAATTTAGAAGTGACAGGACTAGAAGTAAGACTGTTAGTCAACATCACCCACCCCCAACTCTTGGAGCTACTTTTTACCAACAGATAATGGGATTAACTTTCATATTATCAAGCCCCTATAGCTGAAAGAGTGTGCATGTTCAGTAACAGGTTTCGATCCTGTAATCCACAGATTGCAAGTTGAATGACCTAATTACCAGACCACTGGCTCTGGAACCCAAGGTTATTTAAACAACTTGAAAATGTATGAGTATGAAGTGAACTATTTTTGTTCACAGCTGCAAACCCATCTAACAATTCACAAAAGCCTTCTGTATAAAATTTACATTATTTATAAATGCTACTTACAGACTGAACTGAATAAGATCAACTAAAATGAACTTGTCACGTGTAAATATCAACTTATCTTTAAACTTGTGAATTCAATTTTTTGGAATAAATGCCACTTAGTGAATAATTTAAATTATTACTGTTTGTTATTTCATTTAAAATTTTTATTATTGCATTTAACTGCCTTTAACTTTTAATAAAATAAATTTGGATTATAATTTTGATGTTTCAAAATACCTTTCAAGTAAACTTTATTTAATTTAAAGATGTAATAGGAAGTTTTTTCACTTGAAAATCAAATCAATATTAATTAGTGTCAAAAATGTGAATCTTTTAACGGGCACAGCACAGAGCTGTGTGAAGTGTTTTACTATACACAGTTATGAAAATATCTTTTATAATAGTGATAAACCCTTCTTTAAATTCTCACAGCTACATGAAAGTTAACATTTTCCTTGCCTGAAAATGTATTTCAGATAGATACTCACCACTCTTCACAACAAAGAGGTATTATCTTGTATGCACTTTCATGTAAATTCCTGTGCATGCCATAAACCTTGAACAAAACTCCCACCCCTACACATATCAAATGTATTGCACAACCCCATGATGTAATCATCATTATACAATAGTCCTCTATTAACAGAATGGAGGATGGAAAAAACAACAGAGAAGGTGTCTAAATGGATAATGATAAGAAGACCAAAAAGATGAGACAGAAGATTGTGGCAAGCATATGGAACAACCACCATCATGAGGATTTGAAGAAAAACTCTTACTCTGGAGATCAAATGCTGGAAATGGATCATGTATCCAGAACAGTACTACTGAACAGTGACAGTGGTACAAAAGTGTATTTGTAAGATGGATTGACATTGAGTGCAACAAAATATTATGTGTCACCTTTGGTGTGTCCACTATGGATATGGAACTCCATACATGTAAGTGGAAGACACCCACATGCAGACTGGTGAGATGTGATGGGTTACAAACAAAAGCAAGTCTGTCAGAAGAGGGACATCTAGGGTCACGTGGGATCAAGTGAGCCATTACAATGGCAAGAGGGGAAGGGAAAGACTACAATAGATCACTGTATATACCCACACTGACAGGCCAAAAGCACTGAAGGGGACACTATGGGCACTATCAAGAAGAGCAATGGACTCAAGAAAAAAAAAAGATGGCCCAAAAGATAAGTCCTCTATGCAGAAAATGGAGACATGAGAGTTTACAGATCCATAGCTATAAGTCACAAGTTTGTAAAGAAGTATGCTGAGCCTGCCATGCATACAAAGTGAGAAATGAATGAGATACAGGTTAAGGATTGAGACTGAATTAAATAACCAAACCAGCCACCTCAAAGGAGACAATTTCCAATAGAGAAGGAAGGTCACAACAGATAAAGCAACATTGGAAGGGGCAAGTAGAAGCCAAACATCCATAGAGCAGTAGTATAAATAGGCCTCAAGTTTCTAACTGCTGAGCAAAAACCCACAGGACCCAAAGAAAAATGATGTGGCCAAAGCCAACTCAAAGGAAATGGCTGAGAACTGAATATTCAACTATGGTGGATGAAACAAAAGAAGCAAAAGGCAGACAGATAAATTGGGATATAGAGAAAAAGTCTGAGACCTTGAATCAAGTCATCCACCACTGGGGAGAGTGCCTAATTCAGAGCGAATAAACGATCCATGAGAAGACCAAAGCTGGGTCAAGTGGGACAGACTGATGACTGGCCACCACTACCCACCATCACAGGAACAACAAAAAAACAGGAGTAAAACCCCTTGCACATCCTATCACATAATAATCTCTCACATGACACAAAAAAAATATCATGCAACCTTTTTATTTACCTACAAAATCATACACATTTTCATATAACACTACATACAACTTTCTTCAGTTATAAATAAGTTTTCTTATATACTGCAAGTAAATTAGAGAGTTTGATTCCGTCATGTGAACATATTCAACATAAACCACCCACAAGTTCAGTACTCGGATGCCCCTAGCTATATGGCACATACGATATGTTATTACAAATTATACAGTTTTACAGTAACAATTAACTGACGTACTTTTACATTACACAAAGACATCATAGTTTGTTTCACCGTGCACATAAATGGAAAGTGATAAGAAATTATCTAATGGGTGTAGATATGTCAAACCCCCAGCTCTCCCAAAAATAAGATAGTAGTTCAACTAGGCTCGACACAATGAGTGGAAAAGGAGTTATCCCATGCCAACCAAACATCATAGGCTGGTGCAATACATGTTAACACGTGTAGGGGTGGGATATTTTTGCAAGACTTATGACATGTGCAAGAATTTAAATGGCAGTGCACACAAGGTAATAGCTCTTTGTTCACAGTGTAGAAAAACAAGAAAAAAACACAGAAACCCCTGAAGAACTCTGAATGTTGTAGAAAAGGAAGACTACAAGCATACAAAGTGATAGAGCAGAACTTCCAAAAGACCAGAGCCAAGAGGTGACACTAGAAAAAATCACCACAAGACCCACAATGGTTAGCCCTCAAAGAAGGGTGGATCTTGGATGATAACAAGGAACAGGAAGAAGGGCAACCCCAGAAGGCCATATATGATGAGAAATCTGGTAGGGCATCCTGGTTCCAAAGGCAATAAACCAAAGTGAGAAGAGCAGAGATGAGGAGCTGAATCAACTAAAGATGCCAAAGTAGAAGAAATGTGGAATACTGCACATGGATGATGTGTCACCCTTCTACTAGTAAAGAACTATAGTCTAATGAGGATAGTATCATAGGCTAGTGCAATACATTTAACACATATAGGGGTGGAGGTTTATTTCCAGACTTGTGGCATGTGTAAGAATTTGCATGGCAGTAATATCTCTTTGTTCAGAGAGAGGTGAATAACACCTTTGAAAGCTATTCACAGAATAAACACAATATTTTCCTTGTGCTATTTAAAACCAGAATCTATTTGGTATATAGACTTGTATCCAGAAATCCATTTAAACACACAGTATCCTTTATAATATGTGTCAAGCATGGTCTACTGGTTATTATGCCAAACTGTGAATCCAGGGATCTGTAGTTTGTGTCCCATTGTCTCAAATTCATGCTACGAAGTTTGGTGATGGTTAGACCCTATTATTCAAAAGAAATAGCCCAAGACTTGGTGGTAGGTGTCACTGACAAACTGCCCTCCCTCTAGACTATTGAATCCAGGACAACTAGACACCAGACAATTAGACACCTAAAAAAATGATGAAGTAGGACATTTAGACACCACTTGTTTAATATAAAATAAAACAATAATTACAATACTTTTCCCCATTATATCACCTGTATATATCTAGGTTTATTATATTATTAGTTTAATTTACTCCATTATATGATCTGGATGGTAAACAGACAACTATATAAATATTAGGTGTATAATTACCAGAAAGACCTTGGGGTACCGTGTAGCTTGCTCAAATTTCCAAAACAAACAAACTCTTATAATATCTGATATCTAATTCAGTCATGCATCTTAATGAGTTTGATTTTTTTAAAAATTCCATCTTGCACAATTCTATACAGACATAACATACAACTACCCAACATTATGCTTTGAATATTCTGAATGTTACAAAATCTTAAAACTTTTATAATTAAAACACAGATGTAAACATGACATATTTGTTATTAATGGGCCACACATCTAGAGATAACAGTCAAGTTAGTGTTGCAGTAACTTCTACATAAATAAAAACTGCTTGTTTGCAAACAATTTTTTTCACTTTATGTCAAAAAGAGTATTCATTTTAGGTTGGTTCATCATGTACATGTAATGGTAAAGATGAAGTGAAAAAGTAACAAAATTAGAATAATTAAAACTAAAGGAATCATCAAATGTATGACACTTCAGTCTTTCATGCACCAAACAAAGTAGACAATTTGGCAATATGCTGATAAACTAGCTTTTGAAAACTTTTAAAATACCCAATAATGATATGTCTTAGTTTTCAGATTTAAAAGGAAATAAATTATTTCAAAATGAAAGTACTTCAACCTATTAAATGGCACCCACAACACCAAAGTAAGAGTATTTCATCTGAACATGTGAATGAACCAAAGATCTTGGTATGAAAACACTGATATTAAAAAATAAACATTACTTTATCTGAACATTGGGATACAAACCTAACAGAGGCTAAGAAACATTTTATTTTAAAAGTAACCATAATGTTAAATCAATAAAATGAATTAAGTACGTGTATGTTTACTCAAAAAACACAATATCCCAAACATACTGACACAATTCCTAGGAATCTGAACCTTTGCATTTGAAACTACAAAGAGTGATGCTTCTTCCATTTAACTTACAAGTAAACATTATTGATTCATTAAAGTAAAACATTTACTGTATAATCTCAAAAAAAAGTACTTAAGACAGTTTCTCATAAGAATGTTTATGTAGGACCATCTCAAAGAAAAGTTCAAACAAAACACCTAAAAAAGGAAATATAAGACAGTTCAATTTAATGAATTCAATCAATGCTACTTAATTACCAATAAGAAATAAAATAATTCCCCCTTTATAAAAGCTTAACATGATTATTTCACAACTCCGTAAAACTTAAAATTATGTCCCTATTGCCTCTTTAAAGTCATTTCCTAGCAGAGCCAGCCTTAAGCACAAACAACTGCATTGGAGTATGGGATTGTTAAAGGTCTTACACTGGTAAGTTACAAATAATATTTAAAATGTATCCATTAATATATCTCTTGCAAAAGTGTAGCAAAATATGTTATGTTTAATTCTTTAAAACAGCATGTACTCACTTTTAAAATTGCTTTTGGGGCCTTACACTTGTGAAGCCAAGTCCTACACTGTACATCATACCACACACATATGTACAGCAGACTTGTAAAGAGTAGTTTTAAAAGGTTAATATGAAAAACATTACTAATGAAATGTAAAGCATAACAATAAAAAAAAGTTCTTGAACAATAAAGCAATTCAATGAGAAAAAATGAACAAACTCTTGTATTCAACTTCTCCTCCCTCACATAACTTTTGTTTTTTGTTGAGTCATGAACAAGATTCAGTAAAGTGCCTTCCAGTAAAAATGTTTCAACACAGGAGATAGAAAGTCCTATACATGTAAATTCACTTTCTAATATGCATTATAGCCTTAACTGATATTTTCTATTTCATCAAAATATTGTACAGTACCATAAGCATTAATATAGTATAGACTAGTCTACTTTCAGAACCTAAACAAATGAAGAAATATCACCATAGCAACTGATATTACTTAAATTACAACTTGTACACTTCTCAGTGTTATCGGGATTACATAAAGAAAAACTTGTTTTAAGCAAATGAAGAAGAAAACTGATGATAATGACACAGAGGTATAAGTTATAATAAAGTATGTTTACACTATTAACTTGTAACATTTGCACCTTTTTAAAGTACAGTTTACAAAATGTTATATAACAAGGATATAATCAGTCACGTCAAAGTATTTTATAGATAAAGTCTAATCTTGAAAAATCTACTGTTTTAATTAACTTTTGAATTACATGCAGATAAGAGATGCTAAAATCATCTTAACATGATATGATGCATGATGAGTTTCAATTTTCTTTTGTTTTATGAAAATATTGTACAAAAGACTATATGAATTCTAGTACGTGTTGCCCATCAACAGATGTACCTCATATGAGTGCTAACCATCAATTTCACACAGTGTAGTTCATACATTAAATCAACTACATAATCCTCGGGGCTTACTTTAAACTAAAAATGGCATTTATGGTGTTGTTATTGTTGTTACTTCAATGGCCAATAAGTCCAAAGTCTGTCAAATTATCCAGTTACACTATCAACATTACAGTCAACCAGAAAAAAAACCTGATAACCTGAAAAGATTTTTCTGTGTTTTTAAACAACATAACATGAGAAAATGAATATCACATTACGTATTTACACGTATTAACAAACAAGTACTGGCTCCAAGCCTAAATACTTTGAACAATTACTGATCAAACAATCTTAAGAATCCACATTTGAAAAATACAAATATTTTAAAAATGTATTCTTTGGTGCTTATAAAGGAGATATGCTTTATATGAAATTTTAATTTCTAACATAAGTAATGCATTAATGCTCATTGAAGCAACAGCTGTTCAGAAAACATTTGTCCTATAGCTTTAGTACAACCTTTAATAAAATCAATACTCACTAAAAAAATATTTCTCCAAGTATCAGAAGAGAAAATATCTAATCTCTTACAACAGCTGACTACTATACCAACATACAAAATAAGTTCTTATAAGTTGTTTCATTGTTGTAATTTTAGATATAGGTTTAAATATCAAATGTCAGCTTTAAATCTAATACACTTTGTACACTTTAGTACAAAAATAATAAAGTGAATCAGATGTGTTAAAAACAGTGATATAATTCTAACCTATTTTTCATCTAATGCTACAAAGATAATATTTCAAAAAACTAAGTTCAGATATTATACTGGAAAAATGAGCAAAAAATCAAGATTACCTTTCATGTACCAGGTGACATTAAAGTATAGTTATCAGCAATTCAACAAAAATGCATAAAACGGATCTTTAAATAATTTCAAATTACATAACACTTAGCTAGAAAAAACCTAAAACTGAACAAAAAATATACAGAACCCATAACTTCAACATTGTTGTATACTCAGTTTAATCATGTTTCTAAACAAATCAGAATTCCAGCTGCATTCTGTCATCTACTATATGTTGCATGCTCGAGTTAGCTAATATGCTGTATATATATATAGGCCTACACATGTAATTAAAAAAAGAAAGTTATAAAACCTCTTATTGTTTGCCATTTGATACTCATATCATTCAATTAAAAATGGCTGGAGAAAAGCCTTAAGGAAACTTTATATTTACCACTAGCCTATGTAATTTATCCCAAAAGTTAACTTTAGTACCTCCAGATTTGTTATGCATTAAAACATAAAAGAAGAATGAGAAGTAATTTGGGGAGATTTTGCTGCATAAAATTCTCTACTGAGAGGTTAAAAAATGGTTAATATGTCCTGCTGGTGTTACATTTGTGTATTCTCTAGTTATATCTGAAAATTTCTAATTTTTATGGTGTTGTTGTTTTTGTAGGTAACTTATTTTGGCTAATATTTCCTTAACTGTGGAACTTTTGTGTGTATATATATATATATATAATGAGATAATATTCCACAATTAAATATTTCCCTGGTAAGACTATATAATTCTTACTTACTCAGCATCTCAACTAGAAATATTCCTTTATATCTTCTTGTTGATATTAAGAAAATTTTTTACAAAAATCTAATATTAGCAATATTTGACTTGAAGATTTACATACTAAATAGTGTTTGGTTAATAAAAACATTGAATTATTTTTAAATATCATTTGGAAACTAACAACAGAAATTGTTTTAAAATACTTTAAATATGTATCAAAAGTTCATTTTTTTTTCCGTTCTAGATTTACAGAAGTGTGGTCTAATGAGAATGCACTGTGATGTCAAAATTACAATCAGAATGAACAGCTGTTAACTGAATGAGAAATTATGTTTAATGAACACGTATTCACAAAAGTTGTATTTGACAGATGTTCAAATTGCTCCTCCCTCATACAAGATATTGGTAATCATTACTAAATAGTAACACATCTTTCTACAATGGCCAAGAAACAGTTTATCACACGTTATTGTTAATTCTTTTAAACTTGAAACGCAAGAATCATCATTACTGTTACTATGTGCACAAGTTGTGATAATGACTGTATGTTGACAAACACAAGCTTCTTCTAAAGAGAGTGAATTCAAAATAACTGGTTGCATGCATACTAGAAGAATTTTATACAGGTAAGTCACGTGTCTTAAAAATGTTGCTGCAGCACACAAATAGTGAAATAGACACAGCTGGCAGTGCATTTCAAAATGTAAAAAAAAAGGTCTTATAAGTTAAAACAGGCTTAGTGAATTAATCGAGATACGTCCAATCAATGTGGCTCACCCATATTAAACTCTTCCATTCCATATTCTTTCATGCTGCTAAACCTCAAAGTTATATTTTCTGTACAAGTCAACTATAATGTCTAAATTTGCAGTCATTCCTACTAGAAAATTTTTTAAATCCAGAAAAACTTCTTTTTCTTTATCTTCTTTCCCATTAGACAACAACGAAATTAACTGTTTTCTTCCAGGAGCTGCTCGAAGACAAAGCTTGAATATAAAAAAGCAGTTTAGTTTAACAAATTTATTCTACAGATTAAACATAATTATTTCTTTACAGTCGACAATATTTTTTTAATTAGGTTGCAATAATAACAAAAAGTATTTTTGCTACAATTTACCAACTAACCTAATTAAGTGTTACAAAGTGATTAAATAATTAAACCTTTACAAGTATCCACCATTCAACATGTGTAAAACCATCTCTAAGGCACAGAGCTCACCAATATTTTAGCAAAAACAAAAAGGAGGAAGAACATAACTATTAAAGTTTAAGACCAGAAATCAGATAGCACGGTCACAATGGAGAGAGCACAAATTAGATAGCACAGTCACAATAGATAGACCATAAATCGGATAGCACAGCCACAATGGATCAATCACAAATCAGATAGCATAATCACAACAGATAGACAACGAATCAGAAACAATAGTCACAATGGATAGACTACAACTTTCACACTGAGTAACAACTAGGATCCTTTTGATAACGAATTATATTTCTGAAATGCCCTTCAATCACCTGGCACATCATTAATTGGCTGTTGTGCTTCTGGAGTTCTAAATGAGATTTTGGTAGTGATTATGTTATAACTCAAACTGGCAAGACGAGTTTGTTGAACTGAAAATTTTCACGGCTGGCTTTGAAGAATTGACTAATAGGTTTTTTCTTTAAATTAAAGTTACTAGACAACAAGTTATACTGAACTAAAATGTAGACTGGTTGAAATTTAAATTAGTTTACAGAAAGAGTAAAATTATTTAAGTAGTCACGATTATGATAAGCTTTACTTCTACATGTACCTTGTTTTCTCCAAATGTAAATAACCTTTTTTCTTACAGCCATACATTTCTTACAGCTTTTACTTTAGTCAATAACATTCATATTTAATACAAAAAATAATAATTAGCAAATACTTACTCCAAAAAGATTTTGAATAATAAATCCATGATACTGTTTTAGTTTTTCCTCATATGCTTTTCTAAAAAATGGCACCAAGTCCTCTGTGTAATTTCCTTGGATGTAATCTTCAACAAAGCATGACAGAAAAACTTGAATATACTCCAGGGCCCTACATAAAAAAAATTGTGTGTGTGTGTCATAATAGCATAAATGTATTCAATTGTATAAAACTTTAAGATGTTCAATACACTTTCACACCTTGCACAGAGTAAGACAAAGTATACAAGACTTATATATATGTAAAAAAAAAATCAACGGAACATTATTTTTTTATTTTTCCACATTATTTGATTTATTCAATTAAAATTATTAATAAATATTTTCACTCCATACAATTCCAATGTTTAATATTGTAATTAATTTATATTCTAATGCATTACAGTAGAATGATATGCACACAACAATAAAGATGTATTTAGTTTAAAAAAACTACCATAAATCTCATTTTCATTAAAAAATAAACTTTTTAATCTTATTAACTGATTATGCAAATTTTACAAGTAAATACACAATTGTTTTTAACCCTCAATTTACTTGCTTGTTTATATACCCTTCACTAACAGCGGAGTCCACATATTAATCATATTAAACATGTCTTTGCCTATTGTAACTCCCAGTGTAAAGAACTGACTGAAAACACCTGAAGAACTCATTCATTTTCAGTTTAAAATACATAAAAAAAACCAACTAGTAAATGCAATATTTATCATCTATTCTCGTTTAAATGTTTTGTGACTCATTAAGGACCCTGTAACCTACATAAATAGTTTAGAAATATGCATTTAAAAAAAACCCAATGGTGTTCATACTGATCCCACCACTAACTTAATAAAGAATACCAGGTTGCTGGGCATATCTTTAATACTCTCAGTTTTTCTAACTTTTCTACATAAAGAACTAAAATCTATTAATTAAGCTTACATGCATATAGCTAGCTATACTTTCTTCTGTAATTAAATAATTATGTGAGGGTTTTAAAAATGCTTTCTTCGTGAATGTGACCAAAATTGACAATAATCAACTTTAAACAGCAGTATGTCCTTTCCTGAAAACAGCACTGTGTGCTTCAAATAGACTTAAAACCCTTATGTCATTATACAAAAATAATGTATCTTGAAAGCAGAACTTTTAACTGGTTCGATTTTTGATACCTCACTACTATAAAGGCTTGGTTTGGTCTGAACTTTCATTGGTGGTAGTGTCCAGAGTCACTGATGAGGAGTGGAATACTCCAAAACTAGTCTGGCTAACAGACACACACCCCAATGAAAGAATAGACCATTCCAAGCTTTTACTTGTTGTTAAAACAAATGTTTAAACAACTCTACTTATTTAATTTAGGAGGAATATTGTTTTGCTAATGTACTGGAAAGTTCTTGGGAGAGCAGCCCAATTAAGTTTTAAGAGTGGACATACTACAAGGGATGTAGCCTCTCTTCATCCATATCTAAATAGGTTAGTGAGTCACGAATCTGGCCAAATTAGTGGGCACTCAGATAGAAATTAATACAGACTCAAGGTGTCACAAGGATGGGGCTCAACTACTTGAGGATAGTGCAATGGGAATATTAAAAACAGTATAGAAAAATAATAGTCAAAAACACAGATGATCCCTCATCATGGTTGGAGCTGAGAAATCTATTGAGAATAAATAGGCATCCTCCTCAGATATCTTAAATGTCACATAAGAACATGGACAAAGAGTTGGGAAAGGAACATGCCAAAGCATCAACAGCCACCTGATGGTACCCTTTGTCCACTTCCAGAAGACAATACCCTCTCATGGAATCCCAGCACAGAGGGTGGCATTGTGTCAGAGGTTAATGAACATAAATCCAAAATATAGTCTTCTCAAAAATAAAAAGAAATGTGTGTTTGTTTCTCAAAATATTTTACAATCCCTCTTCAAATGGGTAACAGGGGGTGTTGGGAAGAATAAAAAATACTTGGGTCACTATATACAACATAAATATGATCCCAAGCATTAAATAGAAAATAACTCGCCTACTATAGATTCCGCCTGGCTTGGAGAATAACCATAGGAATAAATGGAGTCTCACACCTGAAGAGGCAGTAATTTAATAATTTTTTTGTTTGTTAGTTTTATTCTGACCAAACAAATCAGGAGAGTGAAAGAAGCTGATATCTAACAAATACTTTTTAGTTCTCAAAAATGAGATAAATCATAGCATAGAAAACTTACAATTGGTCAATCAGAAGATAAAAAAATAAAAAATGTGGCTCTAGAACTGGAGAAGTAAGAAGAGGTAAGATATTTACACTAAAAGGTGATGAACAATTAGCCGATTTCTAAAAACATCAGCAATGACCCAAAAATGAGAAAAAAAGAGTGGAAAATATAAAGATTGAAGAACTAAATCAACCAACATGACATTAGCATACTCAGGCATAACAGAAAATATTTAAAAAAGAGAACAATCCTGAAGCAAAAATAAATCGGACCAACAACAGCTTTTTTTATAATTACGACTAGCTGACAAATCCTGTTGTACAGACAATAAAGGTGAACAGGCCCAGGAAATGTTTTTTAATGCATTTAATTATTTATTTTTATTATAATAGAAAAGCAGATACTCCACCATAGAGTGACCACATGAACGTGATAACCTGCCAGGGATAGTAGCAGACAATAGGGAAGTACCGACCTGAATTCTTTCATCAGTAATAGCCAGAAATATAGCCACAGGATGTTCCTACATATCAATGGAAGACTATTTAAGTAAGGCCTCCAAAGAAGTTTTAAAATTTCCAGTATTGGTAGAAATATTTGTAGCACTAGTTAACATTAACTTGAGAATTCATAGTGAGCAAAGTTACCAGCACGTCTGTCAACAAGAAAAATATGAACTATGGAAGGAAAGCAGAGCTTATGTAAGATCTCCTGACACATGCACAATAAGTCGTGTGGAAAATTATAGGTAAGTGACATAAACTCTGTAATGCATAAAGGACATTCAGAATTTTGAGTTTCATGTTTGTTGACAGCATATCAGGAAACTCAACAATGTAAGACTACCTGATTTGAACTACTAATTTACTTTACTAAAGTATTAGGTTGTCAAGAAATTAATGTTGCTTTTTTTAAATGAAAAAACCCAAACAACTTATATATCAAAACAAAACATACATTAACTGAAATAGTCTCCATTCTTATTGATGATGCCTTTCCATCTTACAATCAGGTTGTTAATGCCCTTATTAAAGAAATCACTTGGCTTTGAAGCCAAAAACATGTCTACATCCTCTTTAACACCTTCCACATTTGCATACGTTTTCCTATTAAGATGGTGTTGCAGTGAACAAAAAATATGGAAATCTGATGGTGCCATATCTGGAGAATATGGTGGATGGGGGAGAACTTCCCAACCTAGCTCCATAATCTTGTGTTGCGTCAAACATGCCACATGTGGACGTGCATTGTCGTGGAGAAGAAAAACACCTTTCCGACTGACAAGTGAAGGGCATTTCTGATGAAGGGCTTGATTTAAATGTTCCAGTTCCTGACTATAGATCTCTGCATTGACAATTTG